TCAAGTTGAATACTGATTCATTTTGCACCAAAGTACTGTTACATTACTCTGGTGCAAAATATCCCTCTTATTTGTTTTTCATGATTGATGTCCATGTTCTGGATTTTGGCAACACGTTTGCACAGTTTGTAGGCTGACTTTTTTTTTAAAAAAACCCTTGTAATTTAGTAGCAAACATACTGTGCATGGTGTGAGAAGGAAAAGTAGACAATGCACTCTCTCTGTCCATTAATAAAGGTTTTAGAGCAATTTGGAAGCATCATGTTTGAGGCTTCTAACGTCTCGTGTAGATTCATGCTATTTATCTGTTACCATGGTAATGCAAGTAAACTGGGATCAGTTAGGCATGAAAGGCAAAACTTTTTCTCAACCTATTAGAGTATCACAATGTCATCCAGGTACAGGGCCTGCGTTCTGCTTTTTTAATAGCTAGAGTACTCTGATACAGCTACCATTATGTAAGAACATCCTTTACAGCTTGGTGCATAACGTACTTTGTACATATTTGTTGCTCTTTGCACTGTATTATTGAATAAGTCCATTCAATAAATTTTTGCCATATACAAAATGGGCTTCATGGTATAATAGACAAGTTTAAATGGTTCAGAAGGTGTAAGAACTTCCTTTACAGCTTGGTGCATAACGTATTTTGAACATATTTGTTGCTTTTTGCACTGTATTATTGAATAAGTCCATTCAATAAACTTTTGCCATATACAAAATGGGCTTCATGGTATAAAAGACAAGTTTAAATGGTTCAGAAGGTGTAAGAAGGTGTAAGAACTTCCTTTACAGCTTGGTGCATAACGTACTTTGTACATATTTGTTGCTTTTTGCACTGTATTATTGAATAAGTCCATTCAATAAACGTTTGCCTTATACAAAATGGGCTTCATGGTATAAAAGACAAGTTTAAATGGTTCAGAAGGTGTAAGAACTTCCTTTACAGCTTGGTGCATAACGTACTTTGTACATATTTGTTGCTCTTTGCACTGTAATGTTGAATAAGTCCGTTCAATAAACTTTTGCCTTATACAAAATGGGCTTCATGGTATAATGGACAAGTTTAAAGAGTTCAGAAGGTGTAAAAAGGTGTAAGAACTTCCTTTACAGCTTGGTGCATAATGTACTTTGTACATATTTGTTGCTCTTTGCACTGTATTATTGAATAAGTCCGTTCAATAAACTTTTGCCTTATACAAAATGGGCTTCATGGTATAATGGACAAGTTTAAATAACTCAGAAGGTGTAAAAAGGTGTAAGAATTTCCTTTACAGCTTGGTGCATAACGTACTTTGTACATATTTGTTGCTCTTTGCACTGTATTATTGAATATGTCCATTCAATACACTTTTGCCATATACAAAATGGGCTTCATGGTATAATAGACAAGTTTAAATGGTTCAGAAGGTGTAAGAACTTCCTTTGCAGCTTGGTGCATAACGTACTTTGTACATATTTGTTGCTGTTTGCACTGTATTATTGAATCAGTCCATTCAATAAACTTTTGCCTTATACAAAATGGGCTTCATGGTATAATAGACACGTTTAAATTGTTCAGAAGGTGTAAAAAGGTGTAAGAACTTCCTTTACAGCTTGGTGCATAACGTACTTTGTACATATTTGTTGCTCTTTGCACTGTATTGTTGAATAAGACAGTTCAATAAACTTTTGCCTTATACAAAATGGGCTTCATGGTATAATAGACAAGTTTAAATGGTTCAGAAGGTGTAAGAAGGTGTAAGAACTTCCTTTACAGCTTGGTGCATAACGTACTTTGTACATATTTGTTGCTCTTTGCACTGTATTATTGAATAAGTCCGTTCAATCAACTTTTGCCATATACAAAATGGGCTTCATGGTATAACAGACAAGTTTAAATGGTTCAGAAGGTGATTAGGAGAGCTGGAGACACTTAATATATGTCTTCCCCTGCAACGGCCACTCAGAGCATAAGCCACACTCTTACACAGCCAGTGACCACTCTCTCCTCGCCAAACATGACTCTGTGCCCTCTCCAGCAGTACTCTGGCTCCCAGGCAACAGTTGGCTCTTGCTGCCCTCCTGATAGGCTGCGTGGTTGTGGCGCTCTATTTAAACACCACAAGCACAGAGTTATGGACTTGTATAGCCTCTGCTTCCTGGCTTCTCTTCTTATTGTGCCGTGCTGTGACCTGTTGTTGGGTTCCTAGTTGTTGACACCTTCCTTGTACCCGGATTATCCTTTGGATTGCCACATGAACTTGACCCCAGATTGTTTACTGGACTATGCTTCCTCAATACTTACCCTGACCTGACATCAGAACTATTGGATTTGCTACCTGCCTTGACCTTGGAACTGTTTTCGGACTATGCATACCTTCTATAGGGTTGTCCCCAGATTTTTTTACCAGCTGCTGTCTACTGCCTGATTAGCCTCAAACCTCTTGATATCCTTCTGTGTATCATGTACTCAGGTCCAATGCCGCATGGATAGGACCTTCACCATTGTGTTCTAAGACCAGGGAGCAACCAAGTACAGGTAAACCTGATTGCCTTAAGGAATGAGGCCTGCTAAGGCAGGAGAAACACCAGCCAACTATAATTGTTGACATAGGCATCATGCTTTGCCTGATGGAAACAGGAAGGGGTGTACTTGTACCATTTTGTTTAAACTTACATAATTGAAATATTGACCTGGGAACAACCAACTATCGGTAAATCTAATTGCCTTAAGGGAATGAGGGCTGCTAAGGCAGGTGAAACAATGGCCAACTATAATTGCTGACCTAGGCATCAGGCTGTGCCTGATGGAAACAGGTAGTGGAGTACCTGTACCATTTTGTTTAAAATTACATGATTGAAATATTGATTGTTTTTTAACTTAATTAAAGTTAACCTGAATTCAAAAAGCGCTGTCTTCAAATTGTTATACCTAAAGGTGTTAACTGTTCCTAAGAGATATTCTGAAATTGTTTTGAATGCTTCCTAAAACAATGCAGTGCCCTTCCTGATACCTGACTGTACCTACTGCCTCACAGCTGTATATGTTATCTAGTGTACCTGCATTATGAATCTAAAGCAATATTTCCTGACTGCTAGTATCTCAAAATTTGGAGTGAGATTTGGTGAGGTGATGGTACTACTGTGCTTCTTGTTGTTCTCCTTGTTGGAGAGAAAGCTGCTCCTGAGAACCTGCAGTCAAAGGACCTCCCTGCTTCTGCTTCATTCATTCTGTGGATCTGTACTTCCCCTACCTCTCCTGCTGCTTTTTGATCAATACCCAGTCAGTCATCAGAGAGCAGCTTTGACATGAGGAAGCAAAGTTTTCTTCCTCTACCATGGTGACCTGTATGGCAGCAAACATGTATGCTGCCAGACTGTGTACAAAGGCTTGTGGTGTCAGTCCAAGCTAGGAAGCAGGAGATCACCCCGCCTTTATTGAAAGAGGGAGTAATAGAGGGATGGACGGTGCTCAGACCAGTCCCTGGAGTCCGGTGTGTAGGGTGACCTCAACTACCGCATCCGACGCATTTCCCCTCGCCCACTGGGGCTTGATCACAGAGGTGGCTGTATGTTGCCAGCACACCAATTTCTTAATGAAAAGCTATTTTCTTTATTTGTTAATGATTACATCAGTCAAAATACATGGCATCGTTTCATCATCAGGAAATATTCCACCATAAAGTCAATGTGGCATTAATGGTTGCAAACTGTTGCACTGATTGGTGTCTGATGTGATAATACACAAATAATGAAAAGAAAAAACTTTTCATGAAGGGATTGGAGTGCTGGCAACATATGTTTTATCTGTTGATCATGATTCTGTCCAATGGTTGTTTCAGCTTTCAATTCCTGTGTGGTGTGCATTGAAGCTATCTGATATAGCACAGCTTCCACAGTTCAGGTGACCCTCTTTAAAAGTAGAAAAAACTTTGACTTTCTTTTTTTAAATTTCAAAAGTAGTGTCTAATGTGAGGCATCCATGCAGAAATCAGAAATTTAATTAGTCTATTTAAATTTCTAATATGTAAGTGGTTGTGGGTTATTGAAAAGTGCAGTGTATGCACCATATATTTTTTTTTATATCAAGGACATTTTAAATTTTACTGTAAAATGCACTTGATATTTTGCCCATTTTTACTCATACATAGGCTTGTAATATTTCTTTTTCGTTTAGCATCCCTTCTATCGTGTAGAACACTGTGCAGGTTATCTTACTAAATGCGATGCTGAGGCTGCCGTAATCCATGCAACAGCCTGCCTGTAATTTAAACCTCAATCTCTGTGCACACTGAATTCTGTCATTGCTGCTAGGACGGGAAATTTAATTTTCTTTTGTATGTATAAAAATCATGCCTGGCTGCAGATTGTAATGGAATTTAAAAACACAAATGACACAACAGTATATGCTATAAGACTAGAGTTTGCTTAAAGCCCAAATGAACCTGGCAGCTGAACTGCAGTTTTACCATCCCCCGGCTGCCCACCAGAAGTCTGGTATTACAGTCGGGCAGGGCTGCACACTTGCCATTGCCATAGTATTTTTTTACTCGGGCTGCAGAATTTGACAGGCAGCACCACTTGTCAAACTTGCCCATTAAGAACAATGTGGCTGTAATACAACCATGAGCCAAACACTTGGCTTACAGTAGCGTCATATTCCCGTGATGCAAAATTGTTGCTAATTTAAAACATAGTAAACAGAAACAAAAAAGCACATCACTTTTCAGAGGGCAGTAAGCCACAGCCTGCACAAAAAATCTGCATAGTGGACCCCTGGCTTTCTGTGGGAAAGCAGTGATCTTATTACAGAGATCAAACATGCCCCCTGCTGAGTCAGACCTATAGCTCTGCAGACAGCAAAGCTGATGCTTACTAATTTCCCAAAGAGAGCAAAGGTCCCACTCTGCAGCATGCTGGCAGAACACGGGCTTTTTGACTTTGTGGCTGATTTAGTGCTCGTTCACACTATTGTGATTCGGACAGGAATCGCACCGTCAGGGGCGGACTGACAACTCATGGGGCCCCTGGGCAATAGGGGATCATGGGGCCCTGTGTCCTTGCCCAAACTCAAAAAAGCCTATGAAAAAGGCACCAAGGGCATCTCATGGGGCCCCCTACTGACCCCGGGCCCTCGGGCAGTGCCTGAGTTTCCAAATGGTCAGTCCACCCCTGCGCACCGTATTCCTGTTCAAATTGCATGCGATTCTTTGCAGTGTGATTTGAGTTATTCATTTATGCATGGTTCAAATCGCACAGCACCCGCAGGAAAGGTGCATGCGCCTTTTTTTTTTTGCACTGGAATCGGATTACAGGGGTGTTCACACCTATGCAATCCGATTCACCCAGTCACACTGCATTCTGCAAACCTTTTTTGGGGTGTTGTTAACTTAATATAGACATCCGCAGCAGTTTGCATTAACGAAGAGAGATTCTGATGTGGTTCAGGGAAAACACAGAATTCACTGCAAATCCCACACTGCACTGTTCACTGTGTGAACCAGCGCTTAAAAAGAAAAAAACATGTATGATTTTGTTCATCTTACATCCTATTTTCATGCACCTGTAATGCATTTAGCTGATTTATAAAGAAAGTTTAGTTGGGTTGTAAAGTCCAGTTTAACCACTTCCCTTCCGGCCCATGTATATAAACGGCCGGTCAGGAGCAGTGCAGGAGTGGGTGGTCATTTATAAACGTCCTCCCGCATTCCCTGCCTGTGCGTGCTTTCTGCTGACCGGGACCTCTATAAGGTCCTGATCATGTAATCACTGATTGGCCAACCAGTGATCACGTGAATAGTAGTAAGCAACATTTCACTTGCTTACTACTAGTGAAATCTGTGAATGATCACAGAGGTCATATGGTACAAGGCTATTCACAACAGCCTTTTACCATGTGACAAGCTATGACCAATCACAGCTCTCACAGTATTTCTCAACGGCTGCAAGAATGCAGCCAGACAAAAGGAGAAATTATTGCTTTTATAGCCTTTATGGGTGTAAAAGCAATCAGTGTAAAAAAATATATATTTATCACCCCCTACAAGTAATACAGTGTCAATAAGGTAACACTGTACTGCTAGGGTGACAGTATGGTTAAAATAAATACATAAATAATATAAAAAAAAATAATGTAAAAACATTTTTTGAAAAATTATAATTTTTGGTTATAAACTAATTTTGGTTTTGTTTACTAAAAAGATAGCTGAATACATTTTGGCCAAGATTTATGAAGAAGATTATTTATATGCAAAATTTTATAAGAAAAACTTTTTTTTTCAAAATGTTTGGACTTTTTCATTTATATAGCAAAAAAATAAAAATCCCAGTGGTGAATAAATACCAACAAAAAAAAGTTTTATCTGTCTCAAAAAAATGCTAAAAAATTCATATGGGTACAGTGTTGCATGACCACGCAATTGTCATTCAAAGTGTAATATCACTAGAGGCTGAAAATTGACCTGGACAGGAAGGGGGTGAAAGTGTCTGGACTTGAAGTGGTTAATACACTGTGCTAACAATCTTCATAACCTGCACTTTGCTGTTACATATGATGTGCAGTCCAGTAGGCACCTGAGTAAATCTACTGCAATCAGTACTCGGTGCTCAGTAAATGTCCTGATCAGACCCACCACCTCTCTTCCTTCACCCAGGTCTGTGTAGGGGCAATGCTGCTGAGGGGTGTAGCTATTACTCAGCTATGACAACATAGAGCAATGGAGATGGAGGATGAGAAAAATCATTTTCAGAAAAAAAAGTACTTTAAAGCATCTCTGAGCAAAGTTCATTAAAAAAATAATGGCATTAAAGGGTATGGAAATATAAAAAGACAAAAAGATGTTAGACAATTGGACTTTTTTACTACAGGTCCTTATATAGACTGTCAATTTACACAGCACATTTATATATGTATTGTACATTCACATCAGTTCTTAACCCTCAAGGAGCATACAATCTAAGGTTCCTAGCTCACATTCATACATACACATATTAGGGCCAATTTAGATAGGAGCCAATTAACCTACCAGCATGTCTTTGGAGTGTAGGCAGAAACTGATGTAGCCATAGGAGAACATGCAAACACCAGGCAGGTGGTACCATGGTTGGGATTTGAAGCGACGACCCTAGTACTGCCAGGTGGAAGTGCAAACCATTTAGCCACTGTGCTTTTCCAATAAATTATGTTTACCAGGGTTGGTAGGAAAAGTGGTCCATTGTTTCCCATACTGCAGGAGCAAGGCATTTATTCATTTATTCATAATAACCAGTGCAAGGGCATACTTTCTCTTTTTATGTTTTGCGATATTCCCATTTTTTGCCCTTCGTAGGACATAACGCAAAAATTAGAGTGGCCTTGGGTGGCGTCATCCCACAAGTGGGTGGAGCTATTTGGAAACCCATTGGGAGGATGTAGCAGATATGAGTTGGATGCACATTTGTGAATCCCTCTGACCAGTATATTTATGTGCTTGTCTTTTATTTGCTCAATGTAAGTGCGATTCTGAGTAGCTTAAGAAATGTTATTTTAGTGGTGGAGCAATAAGGTGGTAGTTTGGAGAAGAGAAGTTCGAGCATGTTGGGATATATCACCTTTATGATTGATATATATGGACACAATTTGAACATACATTATTATATATGTACAATTTTGATTTTCTTGAATTGTTGATTTGTTATAATACAGTTTCACATATTATTTAATGTATATAGTTTGTTTTGCTATAAAAATGAATCACTGTGATACATTTTAATATATAAATGACTCACTGTGGTAAATACTGTATATTCCATATGAGATATTTACATATTTAAATTAAGGTGTTTATTAATGAACATTACTGTTGGATTTTAACACTATATGAGACTTGCATGTGATTGGAGTTCCTTTGGGTTAACACATTTAAGTGGTGTCTGAGTAATTAGGGAAAGCACTGCACATTCTTTTGATTTTTTTGTTTTTTCTCAACTAGCTTGCCAACATAATAATTACATAGCTACGTGCCTATTAGCAAATGACCCTGAAATGGTTAGTTTTAGGAAAGGATTCCCTAGGGCACATAGATCTATATTATCTTACCTTTGCCTTCTTGCATGAGGCCCTGTTTTAAAATGAATGAGCGCTACTGTATTAGGCATACATGCCCCTCAGGTTAAACAATGCTCTCTCCTTTTATTAGGAGAAAATCTATTGCCTTCTGAATGATATATTTACTTGATATTTTTTATTGATGACGTTTTCCAGTGTTTTGGCAACCTGTCGCGGTTTCAAATGATTTTTTTCAAAGACTGAAGCAGAATAATCAATATGTCAGTGGAAGCTAAACCACAGGAGAGCATGGCATGTGGGATGTAGTTCAGGATATTGTGAAATAAAAGCTAGCCCAGTGGGGTCCAATAGTCAGCAGGTAGAAAAGGATAAAAGGGAGACCTTTCCAGGGACACTATTCATTACATGTCCAGATTGTCATGTATTGTTCTGTTTGTCCTTTACATGAGTACCTTTGTTTATGTAACACACCTATATAATGATTACCAGATATAACCCATACTTGATAAATACTAAATAAATTTTTCATAGAGAAATAAAAAAACACATTAGGTTTGGTATTCTCAGAAAGAAACTGCTAAGAAAAAAAAAATCCTAGGGACTGTGAAGAACGGAATCGATAATGTAATGCTATTAAATCACAGTTACAAACTGAAAACCATCATACAACATCAGACAGGAAAGGCTCACATTTGTTCCTTCAATGAATTTATACTATTATAGTATTGACTGCATTTTTCACAGAGCGAGCAGTGATTATCACTGTCTTTGGTTTCCCATACTGATATGTAATGGCTGAAATAACAAAAGGGAGGTTTCATTCCATTTTGAGGCCTCTTTCATCCTAGAAACAAGTCCCAATATGCACGGCAAAGAACTATGAAGAGAGAGCACCAGCAATCTGTATCTAAGATGGTCTGTTCTGACCTTCTCAATAACCTCTAAACTCAATGCATTGTTTTACTAGTTTACATTTGTTTTTATTTCAAATGATCAGCCGTTTATCCACCACTAAATCTATTATATCTTCAAAATGCCCTTACTGTCTATACTGTCTTCCCCTATTCCCTACTAATTCAAAAATTCTACAGTATCTTCCTTCCAACTTTTCTCCAGCAGTGAAAACAAAATCTAGTGACATACAAAAGCTGCAGAATGCAAATAATCTCTGCTTTATTTAGATGTCCGAGATGAAGAAATCTACACTTACATTTTGCATTGCCTTTGTTGATCTCATTTGGGGAACAAACCACAGGGACATTTCATTTGGAACCAGTGTTTCCCTTGCTTTGTCAGCTTTTGTTGCACATACTTGGGTGCTGCCAGGCTTCCCATCACCCACAGAGAATCTTTTGATTAGCAGTCCCCTTTATACTTAATTAGTACCTAGAGATAACTTAGACACAGTTGTGTTGGCGGCTTCTTTACTGTTTTAACAGAGTAATGGACAATCCAACAGGTGCAGCCTTAGTAAACTAGAGCAGAGACATTTGATTAACAAGAAGCTCCAAGCAAAACTTTTCTTTTATTTTGGAAAGATTGAAGAAGGGTTGTAATCAGGTTTTCGTTGTTGTCTATGCCTCTATCAGGCAGATTTTCACCTTCACGTCCAATGCCAGAGGCACTACAGGAAGTGAGAAGAAATCTCTGACCCTTCCCCATTTTACAGATGACACCAGAACAGATGTACACCTTGGGAGATTTCTTCTGTACTTCTATTCTGATGGCAGATATGAAATTTTTGGATTTTCTCTCACTTTCTGCTGTGGTAATAATGGTCAAAAGGATAAAAGGTGCGAGTGAATGCCTCAAAGGAAGAGGGAGACAGCAGTAAAAACCTGATGGATCAGAGCCGGCTATAAAAACATGATAGGACAGAGACAACAATAAAGACCTGATGGGCTTCTAATCCTTCCCCACTATTTTCAAGACTAATGAAAGCACTGTGGCTGGTGGTCCACTATAAAGTGGAACTTAGCCTAAGAATGAAACATTGCTGGCAGGTAGACTTTTTTGCAGCAAAGGCAATGTGAGCCCCTGCTGTAATAAATATTCTTCTCAATATGGCTTGGTGATCAGATGAGAGAGTTATGCCACCTAGGACCTGCCAATCAAGATGACTAAAGATGCCAAACCTGGAAGAAGACTGGTTGATGATGTCAGCAGCAGTGAGGAACGTAGCATTTCTGGGGGGAAGGCAAGTATAGTGGACTTTGAGTTCTACTAGATGTTACATAAGTTAGTAAAATGCAGTAGTCTTGACTGTCTAACAAGGAGCTAGTGGCATCATGTTTAATGCAAAGGAACATCTGAGTCTGTGTCCAATGAACCTGTCTGCCTAGTTTTGGATAAAATGTTAGAACCATGTTCCGATTTGTGCTCCTGCTCATTTTGTCTTTTTAGTTATTCACTCTTAAATTGATTTGTAAACACTAAAAATTTTCTTTTTACCTTAATGCATTCTCATTCCTATGCTAGTTCCCCAACCCCCCACCCCCAATAACACATATCTGACATATCCTTCATTGATCCAGCACTGTGCCTGGCTACAGGTCATTTCTCTCCTCTCCCTGCTCTCACAGTCTATGCCAAGAGCAGCAGAAGCCATTGACTCCTGCTGGTGTCAGTCAGATCCTGTAAGGAGAGTGTGAGGGACAGGGCCAAGCGGCACTGTTTACGTCTATGGACCCTCACAGCCCTGTTCAAGAGCAAACTTGCAGGTGTGCCCCCATAGCAAGTGGACAGCCCCAGTGGGGGCCCCAGAAGAGAAGGTAAGAGACAGCTCTGTACGATTGCACCAGGTAAGTATTAACCTGTTTTTATTTTAATATTAAAAATAAAAATAAACAATCAAATTAATTTCTGTCCTCGCGACAACTTTCAAAATGGTTTTCCCCTTACTTTAGGGGGAGATTACCTCTTACTTCCTGTTAATTTTTTTTCCAGTAAGTGAGTGTAAATCTCCCAGTGGGGAGATAAAAAAACCCAGCAGAGTTCCACTTTAAGATTGAGCTAGATCTATGTATAATAGTCCAGATCAGGATTTAAGTAATTAAAAGTGTGGAGTATTAATTTATAAAGGGTAACTCTGCTTTCCTTAAAGTATATACTGCATGAAACAGAAATGCTAACACAGCGATTCTACATTGTAATGCTATTAATAATACTAAAGAAAGACACCCTTGTATTTCAATCTGCAACCAGCTATGATTTTTTGTAACTATAGCAACAATTGGAGCATTATGTTTATTGTTTGAACAAAGAACTCCCCCAGAACTGTAATTTCCTGCTCATATTTTTTGGTTCCTTGTGTTTCCCAGCAGTTTTGCTCTTATTACAACCCTGGGACTGATATTATTATTTTATTAGTCAGACTCTCCCACGTAGCCTACAGGAAGTAGAGAGTGAGTGCAGGAAGTAGGAATTAAGTGGAATCTGTATGTCAATCTATAGAAGAATTGTTAAATCCTTCCTTCCCACATAGCACATACTCATCTTTTCTTTGCTACCTTGCTTCGCTGTTAAGCTACTTGAAGAGAGTGTCGCTCTGCCATCTTTCTCTATTAAGTAATTGGAGCGGACAATATATTTGGAGTTCTTACAACAGGCCCCATGATGACACTCTGTCAGGTCCACCCTCCAGCACTGTGTATGCCTCGGCTGAAGCCTTCTGAGATATCAGACATGGATATTCCAGGAGGCTGCAGGAGCAGTATGTCATGTCATTCTTGCCTAGGCGAGAAAGGAGGCAGAGGATGAACCAGAGTGTAATAATAGTGAGAAACGTTTAAAAAAAAAAAGTGTTTTTTCTTCATTGCTGAAGGGGGGGAATACAAGGTGACAAAGTCATTTTTCAAAGTGAAGGTCAGCGTATAGCTTCAGTCTGCACAGTTTTGAAGACACTATATTTTTTCAGACCAGTGTTTCCACTTCAGACAATATTCTTTTTTGAGGGCTATGATTACAAATATGACATCCAAGTACCAGGCACATCTGTTAGCCGACAGCATCGGAGAAATTGAAAACATGAAAAATATATGTTGTGCAAGTTAACCAGGAATAATAATCACAACATCTATGGAATGTAAATCATTATGAGCACTAATTGCAATGGGCGAGCTAAAAGTAGAAAGGGTACACACAGTACTTTCTGCCTATAGCATTTCTGCAGCATTTCACCTTGCACTTCGGAACTGTATAAATATAGAGAGTTCAATCAGAACCCCTTGGAGGGTTGTGCAATAAAATGTGTAAGTAACTAATTAGTAATAACTGTACCAATGTTCATAATAATGACAGCCCGGACTGAAGGAATATGAATGACATTTGAAATGAATTCATTATGGAGTGTCCATACAATCACAGCTAGTATGAGCATCTGCAATAGCTTCTCATTAGCACATGCAGCTGAAGAAAAATATGGCTGACATCTCATGGCGCTAAAATAGTTATTATGGCTTGAAGAATAAAAGCTGTAGTTAATAGTGAGATCTTGTAAGAGATGGGCAGCAGCAGGTAATCGATCATGAAATCCAGCAGGATTGTAAATCCCAGCCCTAGGCAGCTGACATCTCCGGAGAGACCTACCAAGTAATGATAGATTTTTTTTTTCATCTGTGGCAGCTGAAGGAGTTAAAAGAACTGATTTAATTAGCAGTGATAGTATGAACTGGATAGAGCGCTCCAGTGAATGCTTACCAATAGAGACACCCTCCTAAAACTCCCAAAGCTAACTAATTAAAGGTGAATACTTCATCAAAACAGCTGTGCATTCTCTTTAGTACTGGGACCAAATTAAAACTGACTGTCATTTTTGGGTCACAATGACCTTCTAGACCCATGGTCCTAACAAAAAGGAAAAAATGCAAAGATCACTTAGTGCGGAAATTATTAGCAAGGACATGTATCTAAAGGTTGGTCCTATCTAATAACTCCCATAGTACCTGACATGGTTTTTTAATTGCACTGCTTTAGAACCTTAAAGACTAGACTAAAGAACTCCATGTAAAAGGTAAATATAAAAAACTCAATTTGCTCCATTTAATGTAAAGCAGACCCAAGCCCTTAGCTATTTTATTCCCTCACCATACTGTTTTTATCACCTAAAAAAAGATTTGCCATACATATTTCTCAACAGCTCTGGGCTCCATCCAGCTGCCAGGACCTGAACAAAGCCACTGCAGTGGGACACATGGTTTATGTCAAAAGCACAGCCACTGATTTACTGGTT